GACACACGGCGTCATACGTGTGCGTGTCAGGACATACGGCGTCATACATGTGCGTGTCAGGACACACAGCGTCATACGTGTGCGTGCTGCGACATATGGCGTCATACATGTGCATGCCGTGACATACGGCATCATACGTGTGCGTGTCAGGACATATGGCATCATACATGTGCGTGCCGTGACATACGGCATCATACGTGTGCGTGTCAGGACATATGGCATCATACATGTGCGTGTCGGGACATACGGCGTCATACGTGTGCGTGTCGGGACATACAGCATCATACGTGTGCGTGTCGGGACATACGGCGTCATATGTGTGCCTGCAGGGACACATGGGGTCATACGTGTGCGTGCCAGGACACATGGCGTCATACGTGTGCATACAGGGACACACGGTGTCATATGTGTGCATGCAGGGATACACAGCGTCATACGTGTGTGTGCCAGGACATATGGTGTCATACGTGTGCCTGCAGGGACACACAGCGTCATACGTGTGCCTGCAGGGACACATGGGGTCATACATGTGCATACGGGGACACACGGCGGCCATAACTGGGGACAGATGGGGACAGGGTGGCCATAATAGGGGGCAGATGGGGACAAGGAGGCCCTGGCAGCCATAATAGGAGATGTTTTGGGACAGTGTGGCCTTGGTGGCCATAACTGGGGAGATTTGGGGACATTTGGGCCCTGGAGGCCATAATGGGGGACATTTGGGGACACAGTGGCCATAATAGGGGACAGATGGGGACACAGTGACCCTGGCAGCCATAACAGGGGACCTTTGGGGACAGGGTGAGCATGGTGGCCATAATAGGGGGCAGATGGCGACAAGGTGGCCTTGGTGGCCATAATAGGGGACATTTGGGGACAGGGTGGCCATAATAGGGGGCAGATGGCGACAAGGAGGCCTTGGTGGCCATAATAGGAGACGTTTTGGGACAGTGTGGCCTTGGTGGCCATAACTGGGGAGATTTGGGGACATTTGGGCCCTGGAGGCCATAATGGGGGACATTTGGGGACACAGTGGCCATAATAGGGGACAGATGGGGACACAGTGACCCTGGCAGCCATAACAGGGGACCTTTGGGGACAGGGTGAGCATGGTGGCCATAATAGGGGGCAGATGGGGACAAGGAGGCCTTGGTGGCCATAATAGGGGACATTTGGGGACAGGGTGGCCATAATAGGGGGCAGATGGGGACAAGGAGGCCTTGGTGGCCATAATAGGGGACATTTGGGGACAGTGTGGCCTTGGTGGCCATAACTGGGGACATTTGGGGACATTTGGGCCCTGGAGGCCATAATGGGGGACATTTGGGGACACAGTGGCCATAATAGGGGACAGATGGGGACACAGTGACCCTGGCAGCCATAACAGGGGGCCTTTGGGGACGCGGTGGCCCTGCTGTCCCTGCTGTCCCCTTTGCAGCATCCTGGCCACCGTGGGCTCGCAGTTCGACCTGCGGACGCTGCGGGCCGTGCGGGTGCTGCGGCCCCTCAAGTTGGTGTCGGGGATCCCGAGTGAGTGGG